CAACTTTTAATTTAAAATAATTTGTTTTGACACGTGTTTTACGTAAACACGTGACAACACGTGACCATATGTTGCATCGATGTTGACATCCGTATAGAGCCATCTGTTGATGAGATGAGCAATACATCAATACGAGTATTATATTATATTCAATACACATATTTCACTAAACAGGTACATTTAATTTAATTAATTGATCAAATGTTCAAACATTGACATACAGTATATTACATGTTACATGTACATGTTACATTGTTGATGGTCATTTTGGTAATTACTAATTAGTAATTAACATTGTACCATTATATAACTGTATGAATGGTAATACCACCCAATTTACTTGACAACACATAACATGACTTATCAATTGATACATAATAATATTGATTGTATATATAATTCATAGAGTGTTTGAGTGTCTGATTGTCGGAGCAATTGGTGGTACAATTGGGGCTCATATTAAGGATGAGTTCATCGAAACGGTTTGAAGACCTCAAAGACGAGTTGACTTCAGTTGAGGAGAGGATTAGAGTTCAGACAAAGCATAGCATAAGTATAATTGATATGACATAACAATTAATACATTGATTGGTTAACTGTTAACACATGTAATGCTATTGATATGAATATATGAACAGATGAGTTGACACTAAACCGGATGTGCTCTGAAGGCGATGCCATCGTTGAGATGATGAGACGAGAAGTGGATTCGACGCCAGCATTGGTTCAAAATGAAATGCACGTCAATTGGAGTCAAGTGTCCAACTCTTGGAATGCATACAAAAGCAATGTCCGCAACCGATGGTCATCGACGGGCTCTCATATGGCCACCAATGGCGCCGACGAGACCTTAAGTCGAGGCATTGGTATCTTAGAGCGAACTAACGATAGTGTAATGAGAGCTCAAATGGTTTCCAGAGAAAGCGAATCCATTGGACAGGAAGTGATTTCAGAATTGACAGAACAAAGAGAATCTTTGGTCAGAACTCGGGAAAGACTCGACGGAACCAATGATGACCTCAAAAGGACTAGAGTTTTATTGAGAGCTATAAATAGAAGACTTCTGACCAACAAATGTCTGCTTATATTCATTGTTATCATTGAAATCTTAATTTTAATAATTATTGTTTATTTTCGATTCATTAAAAAATAGACAAAACATTGGTTTGAGTTTTTTTTTGTTGGGAAAACATGATTAAAATAATTGTCATTTGATTTGATTACGGTAGATAAAAATGGGACTTATTTTGATGACAAGCAAACAAATGGGACTTTCGGTTCACACATATGTAATGATTCCATCGGAACGATCGGAATGTATAGATGACTTTCCTGTGAGCCAACTGTGGCAACACTGGTTCCATAATCCAAGCGCATTGTTTATCACGTTTTCTCCATCTATACCGCAAATAGTGACCATCTTTTGTCATACAAATGATTTTGGATGCATTCTTGTGTGCGGAGAGTACAGTGTGTTTGGTGTGTACTTCGGCACTAGTATTAACCGGATTAGCCGTAAGTTGTACTAAACGGGAACTCTTATCCAATCGGATGAATGCAATTAACTTTCCGCTCAAACTTTTGTTTGTTAGAAGAATAAGTCTATTATCGACAGAAATGAAACCATTATGTGATTGCAATTCCGGTGCTTTCACTAAAACAATATAAATTAATGAATAATCATTTGCTCAGTATTTAGCAATACCTGACAATAAACGCAATGAATCGTTGAGTCGAAAACAAATTACAATAATTATTATTTGAAACATTTGATTGAAACCAATGTTGTATTTATTGAAATCATGGCATCAAAATTGCTTTCTTGAGCTTTAGCTAACTTTAATATACATGTATATATTCGTTAGTACTAACTGTAATTGTAATTCTATTATGAATACTATATGGTATCAAATTATGTAAAGAGGAGATGTTGTTAGGCTTATGCACACACTTTGGGCACTGGGATGGGATTTGAGAGGAGAATACATTGATGTTTTGTTGACTTAATGATGAATTTGAGTGCCTATGATATAAGATATAATATATTCAATTACTGGATCCACGCGTTCAACAGAGTGTGGCGTCGATCGCAAATATCAAATAAACAACTGTTGCATCAAATTGTGTCTAATCTTTCCGCACATTTCAATTGACTTGTTTGGTCTAAAATAAGAAATTAAACAAACAATTGTCAATTGCCTTACAATTGTGCTAATCTAACAGTACTCTCAATCAATACCTGTTCATAAAAGCCCGTAAAACATGCTTTTGTTGAGGAGTTAAGAGTCCGAGAGAATGGGTGATAGCAGATAATGGACCCCTAAGATCATCGACATGTTTATAAACTCCTGTTTCATCTTTCAAAAGTCCCAAATAGACTAAAAGCGCGTTCATAGCTATGAACTCATTTGGATCGCTACGGATCGCACACTTTAGACAAACTTCTGTTGTGATACAAAAAACTCTTTTATGTGACAATCAATAAATATACGCTTTAATAGTTACCACTTTCTATTAAAGCTTCGTCTCTGAGCTTCGATGTCTGCTTATCGAATCCATCGACAGATATTTGCACAAAATGAGAACATAAGTCATTAATATCTGTCAAATCCTAATCATTCACAGCAAAGGAATTAAAGACTCATTTAATATCCAATAATAATCATGTTATTCAACATTTTATATCAAAAGTTATCTTCCATTCACTGTCAAAGACATACATTTTCTATTTTTCGAGTTAACTCTTCAACAATGGCTTCCGAATTGTGTACATCTCGGCGATCGGCCACTGCTTTGTCTCCAAACTCATTGCCGTCATCTCTATGAATGGTGTCTTCATTTGCTTCATTTGGTTGGTCCGCGTCGTGTGCATCGGAATCTTCTTCGGCAGAGCCCTCATCATTACTATAACAGTTGATTGAGTTGTGCTTAATATGAGTTTCAAACAAATACATGTCAAATAAATACTTAATATCCATATGAATGAGTTGTTCCAAAGCTAAAGATAGCGCTTTCACCCCAGAGTCGCCAAAATTATTATCATTCAATTCTAGTTTCAATTTAACGGTTTGATTACTACTGTTTGCTAATTGTTGTGCACATTCAATGATGACATTAACCGCTTTTTGGCCCCCAATCTCATTACCACTTAAAATAACTTCTTTCAAATTGGAAGCATTGGATTCAATGATGGCCTCACAGATAGCAATACAGCCTTCGGTCTTAAGTATACAATCGCCAAAATTAATGCTTTCTATTGAATTCAGAGTCTTGAGAGCAGAGGCTATAGTTTTGGCCTCAGTTTTCAAATTATTGTCATTTAAATTGAGATGTTTGAGACCCTTATTGGCAACAATAGCACCACAAATGGCTTCAATAGCTTTACTGTGAATCCCATTTTGAGGCATTTCTAAGGTCTCCAAAGTATGCAATCTATTGGATATCAAACATTCAATTCAATTAGAAATAACAAAAACATTAATTCATATCAAATCAAATACTCGGCCAAAGCGTTGCCAATGGCTTCTGAACCCAAGATTTCTAATCGATTTCTGCCACAAATCAATGTTTTCAAAGACTTGAGATGAACTAAGCCTTTGGCCAATAGATGTCCGCCGCCGACACCTAAACCACAATTATTGAGTCTCAGAGTGTGGAGTGATTGACAAGAATGGCTTTGGAGGAATGGCAGCAACGAAGGCATGCCAACGGGTCCGATGGCGTTGTCGCTCAGATCCAAAGTGTTGAGGCGGGCGTTGCTTAGCATCAGACCAGACGTCATGAACACCAATACATCGGGAATTTCGGTCTTCAGACGACCAGTGAATAAGTTATTAAACAATACGTTCTCAACACTCGCACAGCTCTCAAGACTCTTAGCCAACTGTTTGGCAGCACTGATGCCCAAAGTGTTGCCCTCGAGGTTCAAAGTGACCAATCGCTGGCACCCCTTCACCGCCGACACTATCGGCTCCACATCTTCTTCAGTGTCTAATCGCATGAGACGTCCAGCAAAAGACACTGTTGTCGACACATTTAGATCCAACCCCGATATGTCTGCCTCCAAGTCACTCATTCTTCAGGCAAGATGTAAGTGATGTCCAAATAATGTTGAAATGATTGTGAAAAAAATGTAATAAAACACACGTTTAGTCACTAATAGTAACACAAAGGCATTACATGTGAATCACTATTGATTTACAAAGTATGTACCGTTCATATACAACGTGACGTTCATATACAACGTTACGTTACATCTTTAAACACAATACTGTTACGTTTACATTACATAGTGTTGTCAACACGTATTAA